CAGTACTATGTACTATGTACTATGTATATACCTAAATATCTAGGATGCATACTTACGCCATGTTTGAAATCGCTATGCTCTTTTTAACACTAGAACTACCGAGCACTTAAACTGACTTTTGAAAATTTCATTATAAAAACTATAAACGTGGATTTATTAAGATTTGTATTGGTTTAAGTTTTAGCTCAGGTATAAGTTAATCAGCTTCTTTAATAATTTCTCAAATAGGTGTTCGTGCCTCTTCAGTAATTGCAAAAGAAAACGTCAAGGAATGGGTCATTTTGATCCATTTGATAGTTCTCTTGTTAAATGTTAATAAAATAATGTTTTACAATGACATTGTGAATATAAATAAATTGAACGTTTAATACAATACGTCAAAATGATAAATCCAAATTTGAGTCTACCTGCCTGTTAATATATTTTTACAACTTCATTTTATTATTCACAAGACAATGGCACTTGAAACATTCACGGTAGATGTGTCCAGACGACTATCCCCGAATATTTTACAAGTCGCACTGAAATATTCAACGTCACGTTCACGAATATATATTCGGTTTCGGGCTCAAATGATCCGTGCCGTCCGCGCGAAAACAAGTCCTCGAACGAGCGGCACGAATCATCTGCTTCACCGAGCCAGACACGTAAGCGCCACTCGAATGATTCGTGCCGTTCCGCTCAGGATACCGGCCGTTTAGAAGCGGTACGAATCAAATCGGCCGACGTGCGCTCCTTTCCTCTGTCCTAAATAATCCCTCCAGCGAAGTCGCGTCTGGGGAGGGGAAAAGGACGGAATTTGGTGCGATCGGCGTGGCGAGAGCCGTTGTGTGTGTTGCCTGCTCCGCGCGCATATCTTGTGAAATCCTTGAAGCCTTGAAAAAGTTCCGGCTAAGCGACGGAGAAAAAGAGAATTAGTGTGTTGCGTGTTTTGTAATCGGCCGGCGTGTTGCGATATAGAGCCACGCATCGATCGCACGCCGAGTCTCCTGCTCCTTCTAGCAACCACACTGCCGCTCTTTTATAACGCGTTTGTTCGACCATGTCCGGAGAGAACAGAAAGAGCGATTTTTGTGCATCGTTAGCAGTTACTTTTTTACGCCCCATTTTCTTTTTATGTAACTGCAACCGAATAGTTACTGGAGAAAAGTCTACTACTCGGTTTCCCGCACATAAACCGTTAGAATTTGTAAACAGTCGATCTCCGAACGACACGAGTATCATGCAGGGGTTGAAAACAGTTACGATGTCGGTTCCGATACTTGAAACAGTTACGGAGAACCAACATGGAGTCATAACTGTTACTAAATATATTCGTTCTGAACTATATCAGTTACAACTTTTCTCGGTTTCTTCAGATATTCTTGATACTATTTAAGTGATACTATTTATTTTCAAAAATATTACAAATATTTTTTACTTTTAACACGTTGAATGCCGCACGATTTCATAGTGCAAAATCTACAAAATGGAGGAAATATAATATTAAATCATCTGATTGAATTGCATTGTTATTACTTCACGTTCATCTAACTGAATATCACCGCATTAGGTAGCATTATTTATAATATAGAAATCTTTTCAAATAATCATAGTATAACTGAGTGAACTATAGTAATTTGATTTGGGCAGGGGTCACCGGTGACCCCCGTGGCATTTAACATGTTAAACTATCATACTTATACTTTGTTTGGTACAGTAGTTCTGGTATTAACCGATTCGTCTAACGAGCAAACAGTTATTTCCGCTACCTGTTCAATGCCTGGTATCACAACTCCGTTTCGTTTTGCGCAGAGCGGATTTCGGAGAGTACCGGCATGCGGACCGATGTGGGACAGAGTGGCGGCGTTGCTCCAGTGAGCGATTGTGTTATCGACGTGTCATCATCGCGTTGTGAATCCGATGCCAGGAATGCGCGCGTATCTATGAGACACGTAAGTAAGCATACATCCTGGCCGTTGTAAAAGGTTCCAGCACGTTCGAAACGGGCGTCAACGACACCGCCGTCCTGTACACGTTCCTCGGCCCGATAATTGCCCTCGCGACCAGGCATCCGATCTCCGTCTTCGGAATTCTTCGCAACGACGGTTAGGCCACTTTCACATGATGATACGCGTATCGCGACACGCGTATTACGGTTCTCGCATATACAGGGCGACTCGGGTTTTAGTATTCGAACGTTGCTAACTAAAGTATGTTCTATAGCTAAAGATAAGACTAACACATCGTGTAATAAAAAGTCCAAGAATGCTTGATGAAGAAGTAACAGAAACAGGATATGTGACAAACGTGTAAGTGTCTACGTTAATACTTCAAGTTCAATTGGTTTGATAGTTCGTACAGCAAGGAGTCTTAGCTTTCTTATTTTCTATTTAAAATGTCCATATACGTAATAGAACAACGCTAGAATCATGAAACCCATCAGTTCCATGGATGTTAAATATAATATTATTTGGTAGATTACGTCGATTTTTATTGACGCAATTATATTGATTCATTGATTTTTAATATCTATACAAATGAACGCTAATTTTTTTACGAACGCTATAATGGAAAATGTTCGAAAATCGTGCAACTTTCCCATTAGTCTTTAATACTTCGAAAAATTCTCATCTATAAGAGGTTGAAGGTTATTACTTCATCGTGACGAATTAGGAACTTTTCTATCGTTTTACCCGCGACAAACATCGCGTCTACGATCGCTAGTCCGCTAGGAAGTCTCACCGCGACTCATGAGACGTAACAAGTCCCGCAATTTGCCCGGAATACATTGCGGCCTATTCTTCCTCTCTTTTCCTCGCGGTTTCCATTCCCGCTTTAGTTACCCTCTGTTTTTATTGGCTTCGCGCGAAGGCTATTGTTTGATCGGAGCGCTCGCCCGCCAGAGATATATCAATCTCATGGCTCGGAAGGAAGCGCGGCGCACGCGGTGTTGACTTTGTAAATCTTCTTCGCGTTCTGTGTATCGGCCGCGAACAATGTTTTGTCTGGATCGACGGTGGGGGTCGGACAAATGATTTTTGCACACGTGCGTAGGAACTCACGCGCAGTCGGGGCCGCGGAACTATCTTACCACGTGCTCGGCTAACGTTCGCCGTGACATTTGATTGCCGGAAAACGAGCGAACGCGAATAAACGAGCCGCATTGTGACCGGTGAGATTATCTCGCCCCTCGTTCCCTTCGTTTCTTTGTTTCTCGTTTTTCTCTTGTCATTTTTTTCTTTACCACGTTGACATTTTATCATTTTTCCTTATGACATTAAGATTTTGTCGTTTTTTCCTTACGTCATTCTGTCATTTTTTCCCTTTTCTCTCTTCACCCTTCCTTATTGTCATTCTTTAGTAGAAACCGCTAATAGTAATTCAATTATTTAATCGCATTATTTAATTTTAGCAAGATTATTCTTTTAGGAACGATATGGTCAACCTTCCCCTATGATTGCTATCACTACAACGGATCTATTTTATTACCCAAAATTAGAGAAAGCAGAAGAATTCCACCCTTTCTCTCTCTGCGCACATATTTCCTCTATAACAGTTGATAATAAAATGATTACATTCAATTTACGTTTCTAAACAACATTTACGTTCGTTACATTCCGCTTGAAATCTTCAATACAAGGGGTTAATCGTTAATGATGTTCTTCGTCAGTAATTTCTGAGGTTTGATATCTAACCCTGGACTAATCCCGTAGACATAATATTTTATTTTGAAACACGATGCACACTAGCACAGAGTAACCGATACAATTGCGTGATGGACGCGTACGGAATGCCACCAGTCAATTCATGGGAAATGTATCGCGGTGAGTGAAGGTAAACAATGGCGCAGCGAGGGGTTGAAGCACGCGGAAAAACGTCGATCGATCTCGACTGGATCAAGCAGGGCCGGGAAAATGCGGGAAATCGCCGGAAATCGCCGGTGGAATGGGAACAGCGGGGAAAAAGTTACGCAACTGTGCGATAAAAAGAGGCGAACCCGGGTGTTTGGCAACGGTGGTGGTCACGGCGCGTGTTCCGCTGGCCGAGCCCATGTGTATTTTCGACGGTAAACAGAGAAAAGGCGGCACTGGCTACGGTCTCCGGTTATCCGCTATTGGTCCGCGTTATCTCGTTCAAATATATTTCGATTATCGTACCCCGAAATACGGTAATAATAATAAAAACGACGATAAACCATTCTTTATCGCAGGATTCAACGCGTATTGACGTAATTTAATATTATACAATAACATTCGTTCCAGATATGCATCGATTACATCGAGAAGTCCATCGAGTAGTTCGAAGTGTACCAAACGGAAGTTAAAACTAAATTCCATTCGACTCTTTCGAATTCAAATTAATATTTTGTCAAATAAAATAATGAAAATATATTAAATAGTAAGTTACTCATTATCTATTTTATTGATTCTTGCTGCAACGTGTACATTTTTATTATTATTATATAGGCTACATCAATAACTCGTATGGATAACATTAAAAAATGGACTTGTGCTGTTTCAAAATTCACGAATTTGTTAGTATTTTTAATATTATTAAATGGATCTGAGTGAGAGAGTTGAAAACGGTTACATCAATAACTTATATGAATAACGTTAGAAAAGGTGAACTCGGGTTGTTCCGGAATTTACTACTTCAATTGTTGTACTTGAAAGTAGACGCGAACGCGGAGGAGCGAACCAAAGGAGCGACTGTGCTGAGAATCCCTGATAAGAATCGCGGGAAAACGCGAGAAGCGATCGCGAAGCGGAAGTTTCACAGGTGTGTTATCCTGTCGCGCGATCCGTGACCGATAGGTGTCGGTTATTGAACATTGTTTTGGTGCGCTCGATCTGCGCATGTAGATCGTCGATCGGCGAAACAATTGCCGTGAATCGGAATTTACTGTGTTCTACCGCTTAATCCGTTAACTGTGGAATTCAGTTTGAAAAATCTCTCGTTTCGAATGCGCCTAGAGTATATTTTAATGAAAAACCAAAGCAAAACGAAGAAGAATTACATGGTTACCGGAAGAAATAAAGAATTTATTGTTGAAAGAATTAGTATAATTTCAAGCTTTAAGATGACGTGTACACTCGTCAAACGCAGTTAACGGGTTAACACGTTCACATTTAATAACATAAATAGTTAGATTATAGTGTAATACGACTATTGTGATACCAAATCGTTAATAATTATTTCCAATACCATTTGCCTTTGTTATTAAAGAATAAGTGTTACTATACGAAACGCTATAAATTCACGTGGCAGTCGACGTTTGTTAATCAGCGCGTTTCCGATAGCAGGTTGCCAGGTTTATGTAATGCGAAACGGTTTCGAAAAATTGACGCAACACTTGTGTGACGCACGTAACAGACACTCTTCGCGATAACGTTATCGCGAAGGGGAAGGGGACGGTCGTGTGAAGTCGGCTTCTTGGACCGATCATTTGCTGTTCTCATGAATGAAATACGATTTCGTCTTCTTTTATTTGCGATTTTTTACCGACGTGCTTTCCTCGTGCCAACATTTTTTTATGTCCTACGTATTGGCGATCGTTGGAAATCGGCGAGTGAGTTTATTAACACTAAAACAACTGAGCATTTAACATGATTAATATATAATTCTTGTAAAAGTTGTAACAATACATTTTTTTCGGTTTCTTCCTATATTTATTATAGTATGGTAGGGAAACTATTTATTTTTCAAATCATTTCCGATATTTAACGCTCTTCAGAAATCGATCATTGCGAAATAAGAAAACTGAAACCCGCCATTTTGTCGGGTGCGGTTGTTTATGGCGTTAAAGAGTGATTAGAGGGAGGTCATTGCTCGAAGGATTTTAATAAAATTTTCAATAGTATATTTAATACTAGCAAAATTCAAACTAAATTTACTTTAAAATTAAAATTATTATTCGAAGAAAATGATAAAACCACTGTTATTTATCAATTTCCCTAAATAATTTCTTCAAAGTTCTACAAAATATCCAATATCTCCATATTAAATAGGAAATAATCAGCAACTTATGTTACCTACAAATTGTTAAGATATTAAACGAGATTTTTTAAAATATGTATCGAGGTATACCCAAGTTCCGCTGTTGAAGGTTAATCCACCATGTGATTACCTATTTCACCGATTTCCGGACGAGGAAACAGGAAACTCGGAAATTCGTTTTAAGTGCACCGCACGTTATCGGACTGCATTTCTAGGAAAGATAAACCGACTAGAAAACGTGAACGATTCTTGCCGGGAATACGTAAAGTTTAGCCTGTTGATAATGGTTCCGGGTTCGTGGCCGGGAAAGTGGAAATTTCCTTGGATTGGTCACAGGTAGCCGAAAAGCGTTAGGTTCTCGCGCGGACGGGGGCAGAAATACTCGGGGATAATTAATCGTCTGGCGCCGCGGGAGTGCCGCCAATTCATTCGAATCGCTCCAATTCCCGTGACACGAATTGCGCCGGCACGCATCGCGACGACGGACCTCGAGAAACAAAAGTAGGGAACGAATCGCTTGATCGTTAGTTAATTTCACCCTTTGCGGCCTGAATGATTATTTTGTCACCGCTCTAGAAGTTGTCCCCTTTCTTTGCAAGTTTTTGCCTGTTTAATCGATCGATTCCTCAATTCAGGGATAATACGACGATCTTATATAATCATTTATTTAGTATTGAACTTTTCGTCGTGGACCCTTTGCTCTTTCTTTGGTGCATTTCACGCTTTCTGACGTAGAAAAATGGTTTTTCTTCCATCTTTTTAATCAGTCCTTTACCGTTGTCAATGGATTTAGATTATTTGAAAATAAAAGAATTCGCAAGTGCAACTATTTGTTTATTTTTCTATTGATTTTCTCATCGACACATTGTTGACCGACAATTTTACGCAGACACTATCCCATATCATCGGTTATTATTCCGTAATTAAATATGAAAGTGGAACAATCTAAATAAAC